GGATATCGTAATTGAAAATGCAAAAAAAAAATCATTTATATTTTCATGTCAAAATCGACTATTGACGATTGGTTATTGAATAGAATGATTCTCAAAAATTGATATCAAAATATTATCATTTTGAATTAAAGAAAAGTACTCAAAAAAAAAATTATGAATTAATTTCTCGAAAAAATTCTCGATCAATTTTCAATTTTATGATTTTATTTCAATGAAAATATTTTTTATCATCATTCTATTCAAGTGCAAAAAAAATTGTCAAAAATGATTTTTTTCTTTAAATAAAAAATCTACATTTTAAACATTCTTTCTGAATTGAAAATCAACTGGGAATTATCATGTGATGATGATGGTCAATATAGCTAAATTTTTGGAAAATTTGTTTTCCTTTTTTTTGAGGATGAAAGAATGCTTTGGACAGGAGTGGCTATCAGCATTACTATGTTATGAAATTGTTATAAGCATATTTTTAAAGATAACTTATGATTGAATCGATAATACTAAATAGTTTGAAAACTACAAATATATAAAGTGAAACGAAAAATGATTTATCCATAACATTATATAATATTATTATCATCATCATCATGGGTGTGTGGTACATATTTGAACACAACAATAGATAAAAAAGAAAGGATAGAAAGGGGAAATTGGCAGAAAAGGAAAATAAGAAATATCAAAGATAAAATACTTATTTGCTTTCAAGGGGAAAAAGATTTAGTAAAAGACTTTGAAGATTATTAAAATACAAACAAACAGACAACAAGTTCAAGTTTATGCAACAACAACAACAACAAAAAATGGAAATGATTGAACAATTATAACGAATATTGAATGAACTGAACTAAAATCATGACATATTGACCATTCATTTGATCAAATAGGTAGCTAAAAAAATTGCATATATAGATTGATTCAAATCTATCAACAACAATAAAATTGACTTTTGAATGGATGAATGAATGAAATTCGCCAATGGTCATTCAATATGATAATGATCAAATGATGTCCATGATCATGATTTTCGATTCAATCAACACTGAAAAAACAAATCTCAATCACAAAAACAAATGATTGAATTCGAAATGGCACTGTAATTTTTTTTCACCATTTTCATTTGAATGAAAAGTATGTAATCAAAAAAATCGAGAGAAAGGGAAATCAAAAGTAAAAATTAAAACATCATACGATAACCTTAAGAGATGAATTATCATGACCAAAGTGTTGATGAACAAATGTATTTTCCCAATATTTGAATCAACAAATAAAAAAATTATGAAATCGTTCAATGGTGGGATCTCGATTTTTTTTTATTCACTGATATCATTTGATCTATTTTTTTCATTACGTTAATCAAAAGGTGAATAATCGTATGAAAGTAGTAAAATAAATTATCCAATTTTTTTCTTTGTAGATTATTGGAATGTTTTTTAAACATTTTTCTTTTGTGTTTTTGTGAATTAATTAAATAGACCGATTTAAGTGAATAGGCAAAATTCCAATTGTGATCGGATTAATAATTTGTGTATGTGTGGTTTTGGTTATGTGCATAAAATCAGTAACGTTTATAAAAGTAAGAAACAATACAGAAAAATAAATATCCCATTTTTCGAGTATTTCAGGATTAAATATAAATCTTAAATTTGATTTTAATTGTATCAGGATTGAACGAGAATGGATAAATAAATTGGCCAAATCGATTGTAAATGTTCTATTATCTTTGATAACAATGTCGCATAATCATTCATCCATTTAATATAAATATTGTTGTTAACGCATAGTCGATGTCAAGATTTATTATGTAAGTTTTTTTTTATTTACTTGTTAGATGATCTGTTCGTAAATAAACGTTAAGAGACTTTAACCAAATTTCTTCATATAATATGATAATTGTAAACAAATTGATTTAACCTTTGTGCTTTTTGTTTTCACATTCTCCATTTTCCCATTATAATCATCATCATCATCATCATTTTTTTTTGTTTTCTTTGTCGACCAATCACATTATCAGATCATCAATTTGTCGCCCAAGTAAACAATAACAAATTCAATTGCTATCAAATCTTTAGCTCTGAGAAGAAAAAAAAAATGGTCATAATTAATTACAATGAACGTAGTGAATAAAAAAGAATGAACAAGAAAGGTAAAAAACATGTTTGGTATTCGTGTGATAATTATTTTATACGCTGTTCTTTTGTTTGTTGATGATGATGATGATGATGATAATGATGATGAATGCGAAATGAAAATAAACTCATCAAATTTAGCCACGTGTAAATGTAATTTTCTATATTATCATATGTGATGTGATGAAAAAAAAAGATAAATAAATTGGTAAATTGATAGCTGAATGCATGGACAATGAGAAATGATTTAATTTTCAATTTTATTAGCCACCGGTTTCATTTAAACATAAACTCCTTTGTATATATTTTTTATATGAATGTGAGAAAATTCAGCTGAAAATTGTTGACACATAAAAAAACCGATTGATGTGTCCGAGACTAAATACGAAGTTGAATTGTCTTTTTTTCATCATTTAAGTAAAACAATGATGATTGTGTGTTTGTGTACGATGTGTGCAAGACAATCGCCCATTATCGGTAAAGATAATTAGCATTTAAACATTTCCATATTTTTTTGTTTGTTTGATGGAACGGGATAACCGGAATGTATGATGTTTTTATGCGTGTATATCGGTAATAATAATAACCACGTCGTGTATGACCATATTTTTCACCATTTGAAGTGAGAAAAAGCAATTGAACGTGCGAAAAATTTTTATTTTTATTTCACAAAATACGAACAATGGTGATGATAATTTTGTTGTTAAACGAATAAATAGCTGTTTTTTAATTTTTTCAAAATTAACAAAAAACATTTGTACTGATGATTCATAATGAATGTCCTATCAATTAAATGAATGAATGATAAGCTTAGAATGGAAAAAAATCACTACAAAAAATTATGATTTTTGAACGATAAAATGAAATAATTTCCGGAATATTTTCGACTGTCAAATTGATTTAAGGAGAAAAAAATTCTAGACAAAATTATTAGCAGTTTTTAATGAAAAATTCATTGAAATGATTCATTTGAACTGTTTTTTTTCGGACATAGCCTTTATAAATGACAAATAGATAACATTATTTTCCTGAATAAATGGACATATCTGTACATACAAATTATTGTCGCATTGAATGATCAAAACATCTCAAATGTAAATATTTATGTAATTGAATATCTTTAGCAAAAAAAAATGTTCAAAATTTATTGATTTTATCATTGATAATAATAATAATAATAATTAAACATGTTAAAGTTGAAATATTAGGTGTGTGTTTGTACATGTTTGTTTGCACAGTTAAGACAGCTGGCCAAAATTTGTTCCAGGAACATGATATTGTGAATGGAAACTACTGGAATTTCCATATAAAAAAATATACATTTAAAAAAAAAATTTATCAGTTTTTTTGTTTACGATCACCACACATATGAAATAAATATGAATATAGCGAAAAAATCGATTAATCAAATTCAAATCAATTCATATTATAATTCACAAACACACACAAGACAAGACCATAGACAAGCCAAACCTAATCGTTCCAAAAATTGATGGAACGAAATATAAATGTGCAAAAAAAACTATTGACAGGTATATAGACATTATCAACAACAAAGTTTGGGCGTCAACTTGATAAATATTATTGTATATGTACACATTGACGATTGGTATGTTATATTTAAATGGGCCCAAAAAAAAATTTCGACAACCAATCGATAAATGATAATATTAAACTATGGCCAATGATTTCAATCAATATATTTATTGAAATTAATGATGAACAAGAATGATGATGATGATGATCGACATCAGATTTACATGTTCTTCTTTTTGTTTCATTATGATTATCTTTATGGAAAAAAATGACTGTATCATGTAAATGAATTTCAAGTTATCAAAAACAAAAACAAAAACTACTAACAAGCCAAATTGAACTAAAATCTGTTATAAATATTCAGGCCCAATATTTTCGATCTCCGTAGTGTATCGTGTTTATTGTGGTGTGTTCCAATCAATCAAAAAATAACAACAACAACAAAAAATCTATCGCTCCACAAATTATTCACATCATCATCGATTTTGATCGTTATTCGACACACACACACAAATATTTTCATTATCTTTATGTATCTAATATACATGATGTAAACATCGATGATAATGTTGTGATATACAAAGTGTAACGAAAAAAATAAAAAATAAAATGAAACGATAATGCATACAAATTTTTGCATTAAATTCTTATGATGAAAAACAAAAATCTATTAGAAATTTTTTTGGTCAACGATCCTAAGTTGATCCTCATGAAACTATTCACTATTATTATTTACTGATGAATTAATATAAAGATTGATTTTTATTCATTCATCCTACACACAAAATAATAATAAAGCAAAGAAGAAAAAAAAACGCCCACGGATAGATCAGATTGAAATTGAATTGGATCGATCGATCGATCGAGGATAATAATGATGACAGTGTCCATAGCATTTTTCGACATAGCCTTGAAAAACATTTTATCTTTTTTTCGAAAAAATAGATTTGCCCAATAAAGAAACTGAAACAAAACCAAGTTAAGATTGATTCGATTCGTTTTGTTTTTCATAATGAGCGAATATATTTTTAAACAACAGTGGAAAAATAATAATTGACCAATAAATTCATAGTGATTTTGATAGACCGAATTAGTTTTGGTTTCAATCAATACGATTTTCAATAATAAGAATGAATCGATTTCATATTACGACATTCTAATCATCCAATAATAATAATAATAATAATAATCCAAATTACGTAAACAATTTCTATTTTTTTTCAATGGCATAAAATTTTAATGATTTTGTTTCATTTTAAAAAAATTTAAATTTTGTTCTTTTTTTCATGGAAAATTAAATTTATTGTTTCTTTTTGTTTTATTATTTATTATCATTAGAATCTTACGCCATCGGATAATATTGATACATATTTAACAAATTTTTGTGTTTGGCAACATAAAAAACGTTTACGTGAAACTGGTGGACCAACGCCTGATTGGGATCATGCATTATTACTTTCGGGGTAACAATTTTTTGTTTTGTTTATGTTTTACAATATTTTTATTGATTAAATATTTGAAAATTTAGTATTAACATGTATGTAGTTGATGGTTATGGTCGACGTAAACGACATGTAGTTGGATTGGCACCGGTTTCTGGAATGTGTAATTCATTGAATTCATGTACAATTTCGGAAGGAACAAATTTTCAAACAGTTTTAGTTGCTGGTCATGAAATGGGACATAGTTTAGGCATGGAACATGATGGCTCACAAGATGGAAATGTCTGTAATAAAGATGATTATGTTATGTCACCAACATTAGGACCGGGAAAAACTACCTGGTCAGAATGTTCGAAAAATTATTTGGATAAATTTGTTCTTACATCGCAGGCCACTTGTGTATTAGGACGTAGTTCACATGTTAATATTATTCATCAATTTATTCCGCCACATAGACTACCTGGTGAAAGATTTAATGTTGATGCTCAATGTAGATTTCGTTTTGGTCCAACGGCTAGACATCATTCATCACAACCGAAATCCGAAATATGTCGTGTAATTAAATGTTATGTTAAATCACCTGTAAAAAATAACATTTCAAATAGTCATCATGGATTTTATTCCGGTCGTGGTCTCTATACATATCCGGTAAAATCAACATATAATACACATCCAGCCTTGGAAGGTACAGAATGTGGCCAAGAAAAATGGTGTCGTGAAGGTCGATGTTCAGCTAAAGCGAATTTTCAAGCAAATAATGAAATAACGGATATTGATCACAACGATTCAGATGAACAACAATACGATATTAATCGTTATGTACAATGGGAATTGAGTAAAAAGAATGCAACGATCGCAACAACAAACAATAGTGATAAATTAAAATCAAAAACACAATCAACACGAATATCAAATCGACATAAGAAACGTCCAACAGCAATAGGAAAAATCAATAATGATGCAATGAATACAACTAGTGATGGTTCACCAGCCATCAATATACAAACTAATTGGCATTATCATCTGAAAAATGATCCATATCATTATAAATTATCAAATGATCCTGCATTCATAAGTTCAACACCACAACCGATAAGTTCATCAACAACTAAACCATCGACTATATTAATCGTTGATAATATTTATAAAAGTAAATCAACAAATCTAAAGAAAAATAATAACAATGAAATAACAAAAATTGTCGATACCGAAGCAAATTATTTATCCGATGATCAACATAATCCATATAATAAAATGATTGAAAAAGATCGAAATCATTGGTCATCAAATCGTTTGTCACAAATTCATCATAAACATCAATCCATTTCAATGAATGGTAATTGGTCACATTGGTCTGATTATGGTCCATGTATTTCTGAATGTGTTGCACCTGGCAATAATAATAATAATAATAAGGGTATCGAAAATGGTAGATTACGATCATCAATAATGGTACCATTAGGTGTACAAACATCATTACGACGTTGTGATAGTCCATCTCCAATGAATGGAGGTCAACAATGTCAAGGACCAGATACAAGAGTGAAATTATGTAATGCATTGAAGGTATGACGAATCAAATAAATAAACAAATAATTGACATCATCGATGATGAAATAATTTATTTTATTGTAGACTTGTAGTCCATATTCAGCTACATCAGCCGCTACAGGTTCAGGTGCTAAACATCGTACAAAATTAGATCCATTAACGACCGGACATCGATATCAAATTCGTTCAGTAGATGAATATATTTCGGATACCTGTTTAATGGCAGCAAAATTTAACGATAAAATTGAAAGTCACGGTACACAGTATCCAAGTCATGATTGTAAGTATATAATGATATAAAAACTAAGAAAACAAATAAAATTTCGCATTTTCCAAATAGCCGCTTCACATTCATGTTTTGTTTGGTGTTATAAACGTGGTGGTGGATTCATGACACAAGGATGGCGATTACCAGATGGTACACCATGTGGACGTAAACTGGCATTATCATCTCCGGTTGATCCCGATGATTCAGCTGCTACTGGTCCCAATAAAGATATAATTGAAACCACCGGTTATTGTTACAATGGTCAATGTCGTCGTTTCAATTGTCGTGGTGAAATATTCCATCGACGATCAATTATTCCGGCTACATCATCAACAAACGTATACAATGCCTATCAAAATCATTCAACAACATCTATAATGTTGGAACAGGAATTGGAAAATCGTTTAATGAAAGATAATTGTCCATCAAATTATCGTTTAGATGAAATAATTCAAGATCTTGAAGATCAAATTGATGATTGGGATCAAAATTATGATTTTACCTATCGATTAATACAAAAAGGTTAGTCAAATGAATTAGATTTATCTAATTTTTAACTAATCGTCTTTTTTTCAGTCAAAAATATCACGCCAATAGCCACCGTTTCAAAAAGTGAAAGTTCAACACAAATACCACCTATTCATGGCGTAGATTCAATGAACACTGATTCTCCATCACAATCATCACCACCTTCGTCACCAATATTATTAGTCGCAACTAATCCTTACATATTACAACAAAATAATTGGTCAGATTGGCATCCAGTCACCGAATGTCAATATTCAATATCATGCATTCGAAATGGTCGAGGATTCCGTTTAGTTACCAGAGAATGTCGTCGACAGTAAGTATTGAATTCTTATTCTTAAAATCTCAGACTAACAGAATTATTCAATCATTAAGAACGTGTCTTGGACGACGTGAAGCTCTTCAAGTTTGTCCCGAAGTATCAACTGATAAATCGATTCGTAATCCAAGTATGACAACAATGTATAATCTTTATGAACAATATTGCCCAGTATCGATAAGACGATCAGCTAACGAATATGCACAATCAATATGTCGAAAATATCAGGCGAAATTTTCTTCATTATTGTCCGGTAATGGACAGCAACTTAATTACGGTTGTATTGTAGCCTGTGAAGATCGATTATGGCCAGATGTTCATTATCAAATGGATGCATTTACCGATGGTCGATTCCCGTTTGGAACTGATTGTTCCACTAATGATCGCCGTGGTTATTGTCTGAATGGTAAATGTATACATTTTGATAAAGCCGATATATCATATGATACTGCCGGTAAGTATTTAAAAACAAAGATTTTTCGAACCAAATTCATTTGTATTAAAATTTATTAACAAATCAGAGAGCGTCCTCTATCGTCATGAGATATTGCAATTATTTGCTCCATCAACCATATTTCCACTTGAACCAACAGTTTATGGTTCCAGTGAAACACCGATGTCAACAACTACGCCATCGGATTCATTATATTCGGCCATATTTAATCAGGAAATTTATAAGCGAGCTTCAAAAACATTATCAACACCATCACCATCGATCAGTTCTATCGAACATCAACCAGCATATCAATCATTTATTTCATCACATCGTCGTTATAAACGACAAATCACGACAACAACAGCAGCAACAAAAATTTTCCGTAAAGCTTCTGTTCAAGAGCAAGCAGATCCTGAAGGCGATTATGTTAGTTGGACAATGTTGAAACATCATCATCATAATCGACCGCAACATTCATTCAATCATCAACATCATCATCGACAATATCGACGACCAATAACACGTACAATGAAAAATGCACGATCAATGACAATCGATTGGAGTCCATTATCAATGAAACCATTAAGGCCTATAAGATTAACTTCGGTAACACGAAAGCGTAAACCTCAATCATCATCTTTAGATAGCCATTTTCAAACATTCACATTGGTGGCCAAACCAAATAGAAATAGATTAAGAACTAGGCCATCATTATCATCATCATCATCCATTCAACCTAAAATTCATTTAATGAAAAATATTACCCGATTCTTAGATGATGATGATGATGATGATGATGACTCCAATGATGATGAGCAACAAAATGATAAAAAACCAGCTACAAAAATGAAAGTTTCACCTACAACAAAGACTAATCTTACGATGGCAAATCATAAATCGATGAATCAAAAATCTAAAGCGAAGTTTTCAATGGGACATGAATCATGGCCGCCGATCACTACTACAACAAACATTTCTACATTTTTGGATGATAATAATGATGAAGATTCAACCGTAACATCTATCAATCATGATCAAGATGATGATGAAGACCAGCTTCGTGTTGAACCATACATATGGAGTGTAATTTTATCCGAATGTAATCGTCCTTGTGGTGAAGGTATACGTACGGTACGTGTTGTTTGCACAGTTGGACAGCGTTCCGTACAAGAAAATTTTTGTGATCAACAAACTAAACCGATTCATAAATCAATTGAAACATGTAAAGAAAGAGATTGTATTGGAAGGTATGTAGATTGTTTTATAATGTTGAATTTTTTCTTAAATTTTCGTAAAAAAATTCTGAATAGATGGAGAGCCGAACCATGGTCGAAATGCTTCCTAGCCAAACGAACGCCAAAGAATCGTTGTAAACAGAATGATGAAAATTCATCACAGGCATTTCAAACACGTACGATTGCCTGTGTTGGACCAATGATGATGGGACATCATAATCCAAATCGTCTAACTGAATCTAGAATATTTTCATTACTAAGCCATGATTATTGTGATCCACTAACAAGGCCTAATCAATGGAGATCATGTGATATGATGATTGATACAAATGGTAATGAAGATTGTAAAAATCAAAACGATGATCAGGACAAAATCATTGTTGATGATGATGATAATGATGCTGATACAAATAAAGATCATACAGTTTCATCAATCTTATGATTAAAAAGAAAAATTTCCGTTTGTTTCAACATTATTTCAAATGCTAGTCAGCAGATTAGAGATTCACATAATACGATAGGGTATTAAACACATTTATTTATGTTCCAAAAAAATTAAAAATCTCTACACTTTTATTATAATTATTATATAAATCATTAATCCATTAATGCACATTGAATTTCAAATCATTACCAAAAATTTTTTAGTCACAATGGCCATCAGAAGATGGCGCGCTAATAATACAAAAATAACAAATATATTTGGAGCGATCATGAAATAATTTTGTAAACATTTTGATATTATTTAAACATCCAAATTCCAATTTTGTTGATTTTGTTGTATCGTTTTTATTTGATAAAAAAAAGTTATAATTAATTATAATTAATTGTTTTTTTGCTTGAAAATTTATTCACATTTTTTAATCGATTGATAATACACAAATAAAAATGGAAAAAAATTAGGGCTTGGTGGGACAATTGCATTCAATTGCAATTGTGGAATAAAAATTACAATTTTAAAAAAATAATGATCCAAAAATGATCACCATGACAAATGAGTAAAACGAAGACAAAATTGATCGAATGAAAGAATCGGAAAAAGATATTTTCAAAAATTTTCAGTCATAAAAGAAAAATTGTGTAATTGAATTATTCTGCAAATAATGTTCATTTTATTTATTATTCAAATTTTAAAAAAGAAAAAAAAATAGATCACATATCGACGATGACCGGTTTATCAATACTGTTTGTGCGATCATTTATAGATGAAATAATTTGTTCATTATTATTACCAATATTATTAATCGGTGTTTCAATCATTAATAATGTTTGTACCGGTGATTGATTTAGCTGCATAGTTGTTGTTGTTGTCGATGATGTTGATGGTGATGATCTTGATGGTTGTTGTTGATTGATAACATTTGATGATGATGATGATGATGATTGTGATAAATGATGATGAGTTTGAGCTAGACAATTTGTCATCTCCATCTTACTAGTATTATCATCATTATTATTGTTATTATTGGTGATGTTATCAATAGTTGAAGGTGTTGAATCACTAACGGTAACAGCTGCTGCTGTTGTTGATGCTACAGTTCCTATTCCACTAGAATCATCATTATTTGGATCATATTCTTCAATAATCCATTGTTGATTCCAATGTACAAAACGCATAATCATATTATAAAAACTAATTTCGGATTTGATCTGTGCGAATGTTCCAAGAAAAAATGAAATGAAAAAAAGGCAACCACTAATGACTAATATCACTTCATGTGGTTCAGTTGGATATGTTTTACGTCGACGCCATGGATCGGATGTTATATGAAATGGATTAAAACCGTTCTGTTGACCACCAGTGTTTATTATTGACGAACTGGACAATTGATTTTGATTCAGATTTATACTATCATTACTATTAACAAGTGAATTGTTTAAACTTGATGACATTGATTGTTGATGATGATGTTGAAAGACGGTGGACAAAAGATCCTTCTCGGTGAGTAAATGTAAACGTTTTTTATTGTTTTGATTTTTTGTATTAATTGAATTTTTCAAGGAACTAGAACCTTTAGTATTAGGATTATTTGTTAATGATGTTGATGATGATGATGATGATAATTGTTGTTGTTGTTTATCCATGGTACGATTATTATCATACATTGATGTTAATATCCAATCAGATGTTGAATTTTTATTACGAAATAATAATTGAGTTAATAATGATGTATTTAATGTTGATGATGATGATGATGATGAAGGTAATATCCACATTGGATCAAATTGATCATGTTGTTGATGTTCATTATGTGTATCATTTGAATTTAATTGTAACATTGAATCAATTAATATTGCTGGATCCGTTAATGATGATAACCAAGGATGATCCAGATCAAGATTATTATTATTATTATCACTGCCTATTTGTTCTTTTCCATAGATAGATATATTATTATTATGGCTTAATGAATACGGCAACATAGTTGTTGCTGTAGCAGAATCTGCCATATTATTATTGCCAAATATTGACTTATTAAAATGATATCGTGGATGATGACTATGATGATGATAATGATGATGTGTATGTTCATCATCACCAAATATAACCAGATTAATTGTTGAGATCACCATCAATATGGCGCATATCACAAATATTGTATGCCAATGACGATCATTACCCATACATGGTGGTAATGTCCAATCGATAGGAGACTATTTAAAAAAAAACGGGGAAAAAATTAAAAAGAAAAATTTAAATTTAAAATTCAAAAGATTTAAGGAAAAAATTAATGAATAAAGAAAAATCATCAATCCATTATATCATTATTATTAGAAATTTTTTTATATTTTTTATTACAAAATTACACGCAATTTTCATAATAATTTTGTTTCCATCATTATCATTATTATAACGATCAACGAGTATCGAACAAAAAAAAAAACTGTCACCCACCTATAACCAATAAAAATTAATTCGTTTTCTCCTGTCATTCATTATAATCATCATCATCATGAAGATCTAAACAGTCAAATTAATAATTGATCTCTAGTGCATTGACGTATGTATGTGTGCGTGTGTATAGATTGATGAGGAAGATGAAAAGTGAAAAAAATTATTGTTGATTGACAAATTTTGAAAAACATAAACAAACAATAAGTAGAATTTATGAATGTAACAAATAGAAGGAAGGAAAAAAATTGGATAAAGAATCGTAGCTTATAGCAACAGGTTTTTTCCTCCTCCAAAAAAAAAATGGTCGTGTACAAAATCAAGGACAAAATTATTTTTGATTTACCAGTAAACTTTTATTTTCTTTCCTTGATTTTCTCATTATCATTAATAGATCCGTGAATAAGAAAGAATATGAATGTGAATTTTTTTTTCGTAAATACAAAAAAAAAACAATAGCAATTCGATATGCGAAATAGACGTTAACAGAAATACAATTGTTTGATGGATTATTCAAATGATGATGTAAAAGAATAAAAAACTATAAGTAATGGAGAGAATCATACATTTTTTATTCAAATTATTCAATCAAATGTCATTATCACCATCAATCGATTGTCATTATTTTTTACAAATATCAATAATGTCGATTGCGAAATATGAATAAAAATGCATTTAAAAAACTAGATATTGGAATCAATCTGTCGTATATGCATGTAAAAATTGATGATTCGAAATCATCTTGCGAAAGACAATAATAATATTATTATTGACATTCGAAAATGTAATGTTTGTTTGCTGTTTTTTTTTCTCCTTATGTCAATATCGAAACAATTTTATCTAATTAAATTTATTTGATGAGGGAAAAAGACAAGACAAGACAAAAACGAATACTAATCCTACCCTTTAGGACCATGAAATATGAAACAAAACAAAAAAAATTCTATTTCAAAATTTTCAATCAGCCGTCATATAACTCTCATTTGCACATTTCACAAAAAAAAACAAAAAAACATACAAATATAGTAATCAGAAATTTTATTATTTGGTTGATAAATTTCGTAATAATAAATGTGTCATTAAAAATTGATTGTGATTGTGTGTGTCACCTGATGAATTTTTTTTTTCATTCATATTTGGAAAAATAAAATTGTTTTTCAAATGTCAAAATTATTTCAAATTAACAATTGAAAGTATACGAGAGATATAGAAGAAAGAAAGAAAGAAAGAAAAACAGTGATGACAAGTGTGATTATATAAAACCCGAACCGAATGAATCGAGTAGAAATTTTTTTTTTCCATTAGAAAAAAAATTCAATTATTATTCGTTTTGAAAGTTTTTTTCTCTTTTGTGCGTTAATTTAACAATTTTTTTTCCATACATTTATCATTGATTTCATCCTATTCATTGTATATTATTATGATTCACCATTACCATCGATAGATGATGATGATGATGATGATATTAATTACACATAGAGATACACAAATAATTTTGAATACATTATGATGACATTTTATCTGAACGAATCAATAATTGAAGGATGCTTTTTTTATTCGGTGAATAGAATCATTCATTCATTTATTCATAGTATTTATTAATGAAAAGAAACCAGAAAAAGAAATGAACGTGGCGAATGAAAACAAAAATGATCATAATAACAGTTGTCCATTAACATTTGGAAAAAAATACAGATAGTTTTTGTAGCATATAATATGATGCATTCATCAATGATGAATGTATCCATGAATAATATAGTGAACTTTTAAATCATTGATTTTTTTTTGTTCGTTTCCGTTCAGATGTTTTTTTCATTTTATTCTAATTGATCCTTCAACAGGAATGTTTTATATTTTATTAGCATTTTTTTCTCGTTAATGATGTATCATTGGAATGGGGGAAAAAAGAAATAAATGGATAACTTCTGAATCATCTTTTTTCTTCAATTCAAGCATTTAACACGAGATGATAATGCTAATGAAAAAAAAAATCTTTAATCGTTTCCCTTCTTTATCATTAATTTTTTCAATTTCATTAGGCTTGTTTGAACAATAGCCTCGAAAATTGAATTTTTTTTTATTTAATGTTCGTTTTTTATCCTATTCATCATATACAAAAAAAAAACATCTTTTTTTTGTTTTGTTCGAGAAAGTAAAAAACAATGTAGAAAAAAACAAGCCGAAACAAAAGAAATACAAAAAAGAAAAAGAAAAACATATTTATGAAAAGAATGACATTTAATAAATGCCAATGTCAACTGGATTTTTTCCAAATTTCAGGAAGAAAACAGACAAAAAAATATAAAGACAAGGTGTTTCATTACTAAAAAAAACACATAGAACAATGAAAAAATGATTCAAAGCACACACACATTCATTATTCTTTGTTTTTATAGATATTAGGAGAAAAAAATTACATTCTCAATAGGCATTATTTGCAAATGAAATCGGAAACAAAGTTTGAAATCAAAGAAAACAAAATGAGATCCGTCACGGAAATGAAATTCGTTATGATGTTTATTCATTCTCTTTTTGAAAATATGGAAGAAAAATCCGTTTCTAATGATGACCATTCATTGTCATCATGATGATTTGACAACATCATCATTATATTCATTGAATGTTTGAATGAGTGCTTCAAACGAAAAAAAACAAAAACAAATCCATACAAACATAAATGGATATGGACGGAATAATGAGTATTTTTTTCTAAATTCTTCATTGCCTACAATTGCTAAAGATAACTTGATTAAATAGAGAAAAACTAAAAATAAAAACAATGTAAAAACAATGGAATAGAATCATATTTGCTTGAATTTTTATACGCAACATCAATTTAAAACTTAACGGGTATGATCTGACGCATGTCCGAAAAAATAGAATAAAATTACCGTTATATTTCGTTCATTGACCGCGAGAGCAAAAGATCATACGAGAAAAAATAACAACTTATATGCTAGCAATAACTCAAAAAAACAATGATTACGGATTGGTGAGAAAATAACGGGAATTTTTCTCTTTTTCCAATCGATTTCATATTGAATAGAGAATGGACAAAACAACAAGAAAAAGATTCTCAATATATCACAAAATAAAAACCGATGATGATGATGAGAAATAACCGAAATAAACCGAATCAGACTGGATTTTTTATCTACTTCAAACATTACCAGAGAGTACAGAGAACCCGGAAAATCATATTATATTCGAAGATATCGTGCAGAATTTTTCACTATGGTCACAAATATAGTTGGAATTTCGCAAACACCACTCGATCACACATACACACACACGCGAAGACATCTTCATTTCGTAGTTTTATTTTTGCTGCCTACTTATTATATAAATATCACACTCATACATACAGGCAAACATAGATACATATAGATGATGATGATGATGATGACTTTCAATTATCTGGTCGATGCACTCGGCATCAATATTGTCGATTGAAAAAAAACTACTCATTTGTACTTGAATAATAAGAAGTATTCTTTTTGAAAGAAGAATGAATGAAAAAAATCAATTTTAAATTTGACAGATTTTGTTAAAGAATGAAAATGAAAAGATTTTCTTTAATTTGAAAAGAATATAATAGAATAAATAGAAAAGCTTGTTTTCAAATCAAAATTTTAACCGGATTGAAAATTCCAACAGCTTCGATTTAGAAAAAAAAATTCTTTCAATAATGAAAAGACGTAGAAAATTGAATTTTTTTTTTCATTATTTCAAAAAAAATAACCAAGGTCAATGCCTTCGAAATGACCGTGTGCACGCGCGTTACTTTACCCGCCTCATCATTATCGAGTGTGCGTGCGTTTGATTTATAAATTGAAGAAACGAAAATGTTCGTATTTATAATGGGAAAAAAAAACATTCGGGCAATGCTGAAATATCTGAATTTCGATTATTTTGCAGATTTTATCAAAGTAATTGTGCAAACATTGAACTCTTTTTTTGTTTGTTTGTTTTTTATAAAAAGATATATTAAAGCAATTCAAACATTTACCCCAAAACCCTAGGGTCAACGATTTGGTTAAATTATAATCCGTGAAATCTAGAAAAAAAAACAATAAACACATAGAGATAGTAGAAAAATGTAAAATGATAGTCGATCCTGAAACTGAATGAATGAAAATCTTACAATTGAAGTTTTTTATTTGACTTTTGAAAAGAAAGAGAAAAGTAAATGAAACGATGTCATTTTGACCGACAAATACCATTTTTACCTAAAAACTTAAAAACTTTCGAGAAAAATCATCTTTTTCTTCGTTCTAGATCGCGATTCATTCATCCTGAACAAACCAGTTGTTTTTGATACCAATAGATTTTTATGTCAAAAATAAATCCATAGCTAGATTTGACCGACTGAACTAACTTGATTATAATTAACATTTCTTCTATGGGCTTACCCGGATAATCAAAGTGTTTGCATGAGAGAAAAAAAACGTCATTTTTTCCAATGACTAAACCTGGAAAGTAGAAAAAACAAGTTTTTACCCACATAAATCCGACACACACACACCAGAAAATGATGAAAATCATGTGATTTTATTTCGAAATCCAATGATCAACAATATGATCCAAAAGAAATAAAAATGGGCACCACATGTATCCAATAAGAAAAAGAAAAACATTTTTCTTTATGATTTTCTTCCTGACTTGGGGCTCCATTTTTATATTTATGAAAAAGTTACTCGACTAGTTTTTTTTCATTGTGAATTAACTATTACACTTGGCCTGATTTTTTTTCAGCATAGTCTTAAAATTCAAATAAATTCGTTGAATAATGGAAAAAATCTTGTTTTCGCTTAATCATAAGAAAAACAACAACAACAATTATTCAATGGAAAAACCGTTCGTTCGTTCGATCGATCATCGAACGATCAAAGCGATGATAATGATGATGGTCAAAGTAAACTAAGAAAAAAAAAGAGAAAAAGAAAAAAAATATTCACCTTGAATTGTTTACGCCAACGATATTCATAGTTACATATTTCGCAGCTTAACGGTTGAGATCGTGAATTACGCCGTTTTAGTTTGTCAAGCCATTTCTAAATGAAATTTTTTTTAATATTAAAGAATCAGAAATCGAAAAAACTTACCATCAAACATCTGGCATGCATATAACGTATCGTACCACGACAATGACAGGGTGATATTAATGGATTATTAGCTTTACCACGTTGATGACAAAATTTACAAATCGGTGTATTAGCTGGATAATCCAATAATGATGAATCATTTGATGCTTGTGATACAGCACTATGTACCGAAATACATGATGAACCGATACGTATCGATTCATGACCATTACGATATTGTCTATATGGATGTAGATATTGATAATTATGGTTAGCTAATAATGGCTGTCCTGATTGATGACTATTTTGTTGTTGTTGTTCACTTAAAATATTTGAATTTATAATCGATGATGAGGTTGATTGTGTTGTTATCGATGAAGGTGGTGATGATGATGATGAACTAGTTGTTAATGTTGCATCAACCATATAGACACTATTATCACCGACAACAACACCGGCGGATGAAGATGATGATCCAGATGTTGTTGATGATGATGATGTACCGGACATTGATGATGTCCATGTTGAAGTTGAACTTGATGGTGCCGAAGAATCCATTTGTTCACTATCATCACTATTATTATTATTATGCATTGCATGTACAGTAATAGCTGTAGCCATTATATTATTATTACAATTATTATTTTTCTTATTCATCATAATCGTTGGTAATAACATTTTAGATGTAACACCGTGATCCATTGATGTAATCATCATTTTTGTTGCTGATGATGATGATGATGTTTGTTGATTATTATTCAATCGATGCCTATTGCCTATTGATGAACATTGCACTATACGTGTAGAATTATTTGGCCTTGTTAATTGTCGTGATTCGGATATGTCATCATCATAATCGTCATAATCATCATCATCATCATCATAATAATCATAATCTTCACCATAGGAATCACTGTGGTGATAATTTTGTAAATTTTTTTTATTATTTTTGATGATCATTGAATGTTGGTCGCAAATAAGCGAATGATGATGATGGTCAGCTGATGATGATGATGATGATGTTGATGGTGGTGGTGATGATGAGGATAAAATTTTATGTAAAAGTTCATCATCATCTTCAGAAATTGTATGAAGATGTTCAACAGGATTTTCATCGATATAATGTAGATGATGACCACCATGTTGAAAAAGACTACGGTAACTATCATCAACAGTACCACCACCACAACTACTATCGACTAAAACATCTTTATATGAAGAAAATGTATCTTTGTGATCATCGTACGGTTTTCGTTGTTGTTGTCTCTCAATCAAATGAACTCGTTCTTTTTCAGTATAAATACCGTTTTCATCGTCATCGTTGTTCGGTCGATTGTCCTGTTGTTGTTCATATTGGCCAACATAATCCAGAGCCGAAGAAGCCATAGCTATTGTTGATGGTGATGATACAATAACGGCATTCATATTGCTGCCAACAGTAACAACATCGTCATCATCATCATCAACATTGCTGTTATTTTCCACCACCACCACAGCCTTTTTCATCATCATCGATAATGGGAACAACATTGTCGATGTTGATTGTTGTACAATTGTTGAATCTCTCCAATGATTTTCCGTTGTACATGAATTATTATTATTGTTGTTGTTGTCGTCCATAATAGATTCAACGACAACAACAACAACGATACTATCTATCTATTGGTGGTGGTGATAATCGTGCTGTCGGTGAGAGATACTTGTTGCTGTTCGTTCTCTTTTTTTTCTTAAATTTTGACTAGATTTTGATTAAAAAACTATTGAATAGTTTTTTGTTTGATGATGGTGGTGTTTGACATTTTGTTTTGTTTTGTTGAATTTCTAATCTCACAAAAATTTTTGATCAAATTCAATCAAATTTTGAATTTTTAAAAATAAACACAGATAAACCCACAAACACACATATATAAAACGTAGAATAAAAGAATCGATTTGTATGAGAAATTCATGGATTAAACAATGATAATATGATCATTATATTGTTTAAAAGCAAGGGAAAATATTATATACAATACACAAACACACAATCAATAGCTATTATAATCAGAATAATAAAAATCCATTTGATGACCTCAATGATAAATGCAATTGATGATAATGATGAATTCTTATTTGACCTGATGAACTTTTGAAATGGATTTCTGAAAATTTTTTAAAAAAATGGATAATCATTCAATTTGTTTGGAAATATATTTTTTTTTCTTCATTTCATGATTGACATATTTGGTGTTTGAATTTATTCAATATCAAAGAAAAAAAAATGATGAATCAAATGATGAGTTAGAAACACTTAGAAACAAATTGTTGTTGAATTTTTTATTTGGTAAAACTTTTTCCAAAAAATTTTGTTTGGCCAGATAATAATGATATCACTTATACAACCTAAAAAAAAAAATAAAAGGTATAAATGCAAAGGAAATTTTTTTTTCTTTCGTTTAGTTTGTTTTTTTTCACTGCATGTAATAATAGGTATTTTGATGATCGATAAAAATAACAACAACAGCCAAAAGCAATAAATTGATGAATCGATTGAATGTTGTTGTTTATTTATAAGAAAAAAAAAATTGGAAAAAAATACAGAATTATGTACACATTACATTTTCATACACAACAAGCCAAATAAATTGAATGGTAAAAAAAAATAATTTTTCTCATCATCATATGGCCATATTGACGTTGAAGATGATGATCAAAATACACATACACAAAAACAAAAAAAAAACAACCATACAAAATGATGAGAGAAAGAGAAAAAAAATAACGATATTTTTTTTAACCACTTTTCGATTCTCTGATCATTTCAATATATCATTAAATCATGCTTCTAGTTTAATATTTAAGATATGTTTGTTTGATATGAAAACAACAACAACAACAACAAACATTATTCTGTTTCAAGAAGATATAATTCAGGGATTCAGGATTCGTTGATGTTGTAGCTGTATTATATACAATGATGATGATTATAAACCAAGAAACACGACAAACAACTCATTCGTGTTGCCCATGTGCAACACGAATTTTTGATTGAAATTCGTTTGTTTTTGTTTTTGTTTTTTTTGTTGGTCGATTGTATTTGGTTATAGTTGATTAAAGGTTTTGAAAAAAAAACAAAAACAAAATTTCTTTTCTTCTGTTTCGATTCAGCAGCTGTATCCGTAGTGAAGAAGAGGAAGAAAAAAAAACTCTTATATGGTTGGAAAATTCAAAACAACGTTCGAATCCAAAACATTGAATGTAGAATGAATAGTAAACTTTTTTTTTTTAATTCAAATCTGAAACATAAGAATGTTTATAATGTGAGATGATGATGCGGGGAGAGAGAGATTTTGTGTGTGTGCAACCTGTTTTGGATTCAATTTTTTCCCATTCAATTGAAATTTTTAGTTGTAAAAAAACAAGGTGGAGGTACGTATAGCTAACCAGTTATAATAGTAAAAAATATGAAACGTATTAAATGAAAGTTACAGTCAGGAAAAAAATAACGACGTAGCTGAAATAATTTTGTTGTTTCTATTTCCCTTTCACAAATATTTCAAAGGTAAAAAATGATGTGTTCCAAAAGTAACAACAACCGTAGAACGTGATAAACGTGATTGATACCCCTTCTCTCACTCACACACACAATATCCATTTCTCTATTTTTATATTGAAAATTCTGCCAGCCACCACCCATTTTCATTCAAATATTGTTGATTTTTTTTCAAAATCGATTGCTTTCATATTCTTTGTTGTTTTTTTTTGAAAAAATTATTAATTTTTCAAATACAAATCATTAGCGAATCGAGCCGTGCCATCTAGTGCACAAGAATTCTATTAAATCTTTTCGAACATTTTTGTTAAACAATTTTTTTTTAATCAAACCAGCATTTTGATTCAAAAAGTTACAGCAATTACAATTTATTTAATTATTCAATCTATTCAATTACAAACAATCGATATTAGAAAATATTAGAAAAATACATGTTTAAATGGCGATTGACATAAAAAAATATATGCCAGAACCACGTTTATCATTGAATATTTGGCGAAAAAAATATCACAGCTAAAACTAATTGATACACAAATTAGATGGTCGAACATTCATTAATTTTAATTTGTAAAGTGTGTATTTAATTTAAATGGTCACGTTCTGTTTGTTTTTTTTTCGCTGACAATGTTAACAAATCAAAATTATAAATTATCGTAATCAAAATAATGAAATTCATTTTATAAATCCATATATATTTTTTTTTGTTTGACAAAAATTGAAAAAAAAGAATGCTTCGGTTATTCACAATGACAGTAAATAAAAAATGTGACTAGATGATAATGATTTTTTTTCTAACTGGACTTATATGATGAATCAATCAAAAGGAAACAAGAAATCAAAAAAATTTATCACATTTGAAACATCATTTCATTTGTTTTTTTTCTGAAACATTTTTTTTAATTAATGATTTTTTTTTTAATTTTCAGTTTTTTGTTTTGTTTGAAATTTTAAAGATAGAAGATTTTCATCTATTTATGTTGTCGATGATAAATAATGAAAATGATGACGAAGATTTGGATTCGATTATTTTCATGCAACATTTATGTATGAAAAAAAAACACTTAGAGAATTTTAGTTTCATCCACTGTTGCTAATGGATCATTATTTGGCGGTGAGGATGATGATAATGGAATAATATTCTGATCAATTTCATTTAAAGGATGATCAATATCCGTTGATTGATTATTATTTCTTGTCGTAACATATTCCATCTGTGTGTTATTAGCGCGTGAAAATAGTGCGCTAGGATAATGATAACGATGTACTTGAGATCCGGCATGTACTGTATGTGAGTTGAATAATGACCAATTCGGATGTGAATCATCTGTCGTTGTTGCTGACGATCGTTGCCAATCATGACTATATCGATGCCGACGATTCATATTGTTTCTACCCACACCATTGCCAACATTGCCGATATTTTGATGACTTAAATTTATCTGACTTGCTTTAGCTAATTTTGAAATCACTCTTTTAATTGTTTCCGGAACACTTGGTCGATCATATGGTTGATGATGACGATGATGTCGATGTCTTTCCATTAAAAGACTTTCATTTAGATTTTGCTCGCTGCTCGAACGATACATTGCTCCCAATATATGTAACTGTGAATGATGTGTATCCGAATGATGACCCAATAATTTGGTTCCATCATGACCACGTTCGAATCGTATATGTTGCAATTGGCCACTTGTAGCACAACAATTTGCACATCCTAATTTTTCCGTCAGGCGCGATATAAGTCGATCTAATGGATCTAATGATCGCATCCATAGTGGTAGAAATCGCCAATTTTTCAGCCAAGATGGAAGCCAATGTGGATGATGATGCTGAATTAAATTAATTGTCACGATTATCATGGTCAAAAGCATGAATGGGATACCAACAACCAACATCGTGACTGAACCTAATGTCGATAATGAGAAAACGATGAGAGGAAGCATGAAGAACATCAGCAATAAATAGAATATTGAGAACCATCGATATCGGGCTGTAATATGTCCTAACATTCGTGCCAGTGGAATCGGAATACGTGTACAAGGTATTGGGTAGAATAACAAAATTCCAGAAATATTGAAGAAGAGATGACAAAGAGCGATTTGCATTGTATCACGTAAACGATTTGGATCAGCGGCTAATGCTGCTAATATACCAGTAGTTGTTGTACCGATATTTGCACCCAATGTCAGCGGATAAATCTTTTCCAATGATATAATACCAATACCGGCTAACGGTGTTAATGCTGATGTGAATATCGAAGATGATTGCACCAATATGGTAAGTATACAACCAGCTAAAATTGCAGAATAATCTGCAATTAATGAATACGGGAATGCATATGTACGATTCATGGTACTTTTGATTAATTTCGCTATTTGACCACTATTGGATTTTTAAAAATTTATAATCAGTATTTCAAATATTGTGGATGGATTATACTAACGTTAACATTGAATTGAGTACTTTGACCAATGACATTAAACAGAGGCACAAAACTAGAATGGAAAGACCAAGTAGTATTAAACCGGTTGGTGTATCAGCAAAACCAAGCCAACCAAATAATGAGCCTAATGATCCAAAGAAATTTAAATTAACACAATAATTGAATAATGATAATTTGAATTAAATTTACATTTTCGATAACATGGAAGATCACTCTTACTACAGCAACGAATCAATAGATGGCGATTTGGTTCAAGTGCACTATGATTTCCGTAAGCCATCTCTTCCAATAGATCTTTATCAATCTGATTATTTGATAATTGACAAAAGAATTCAAAATTAAAAAACTAATGAATTTCATCAAAACTAAAACTAACCTGAATGATACGATTTGTCAATGGTTTTGTAAGATGATTAAGAAATTGATGATTTGCCGATTTGTCCTGTTGTAGTTCACCAGTTGATTGTGTAACTAAAAATGTTGTAATACGTTCCAGATAGTGTGTGGTCATTTCCAATGGTAATAAAATCATTACAGTCAACCAGTTAAACATATCATGTACGGTTGCAGCAGCAAATGCACGTCCAAATTCCTCACGATCAGCCGATTGCATTAAAGATACAATTGTATTCGTTACCGATGTTCCAATATTTGCTCCCATCATAATCGGTATAGCTTGACGAACATGAATAACTAATGAATTCATGAATTTAAAAAAAAATCAATTAGGTTAATGACATTTAATCATGAATATTACTAATATATACTTCTTGATGCAACCATAGTAACAGCAATCGATGTAGATGTTGATGATGATTGTACTAATACGGTTACCAATACTCCAATCATAAGACCAACAACCGGATTCTGTAATAATTCATTGTCCTGGAAAAAATTTCCAATCACACGTGCTCCAAGTAAACGAAATGATGTACTCAATAATTCCAATGAACAAATAAATGAATATAATAACAATACAATGGCGGTAAATTTCAAGATTATTATTGTTATATGCAAGAATTTTCCTTTGAAATCCAATTCTATTAAAAACAAAGCAAGTAAAATAGAATAACAAAATAAAATATCATTTTAAGCCATGTCAATTTTTAATTTCTTGTTATTTTCGATCCTATTCCAATCTAATAATGATCAATGAATCATTTAAACTTGGATTATATAGCAATGAATTCGGGTATATGTCTATATTCGGGTATATACTGCATTGCAACATATTTCATCATTTCACTACGACTACCAACTACTAAAGTCTGAATCGTAAAATTCGAGGACAAAACGAAAATGCCAAAGGCACCGGTAATTCTAATGGCAAAAAAATAAATAAATAAATAACTTGCAGATAAACTACAATTACGCGATTTTTTATATTCTCTTTTTCACTTTCTTTTTCTAGCGATGGTTACAATGAATATATTTCGATTACATATACAGTGGTACCTCGGTTAACGAAATTTTCGGTTAACGATTTCGGTCAGGAGACCGTTAACGACGATTTTTCTCGGTTAACGATGATTAAAAAACAAGTATTGCATTGTATTTCGGTTAACGAACATTTCGGTTAACGACGGTTTTTCAGGAACCGATCATCGTCGTTAACCGAGGTACCACTGTACATCGATTGCTTTCAACCGAAAACAATCTAGACATTTTAGTATTGAAAATCGTTTTTGATGCCAGATTAAATCCTAAAAATAATTTTTCTGATTTTTCTCTCACATTATTTTTAATTTACCATTAAATTTAGGTCCACTTGATTGCGATAATTGTGGAATATTCCATGGTTCTTGTGAATCTGGTGTATCACACATTGAACGTAAATCCGATGGAGTAGATTGTGTTGAATCACTATTATTCATTAGAATAAATGTACGTGGTTCTCCAAATGGATCATTATCCGTTTCCGTTGGTAATGGTTCATCTTCTGGTGGTCCAGTCGTATTGATTATAACACCATGTGTCGGTGTATTTGGTGGTGTTAATGCAATTTGAAATTCCTGCAAACAAAGAAAAAAACAAATTGAAATCAATTATATTCAATCTAGGTGAATGGTGAAAAAAAGAACAGAAAAATAACCTCTTGATTTAATGATTCGTGATCGATTGCGACATTGGTTGAAGTTGATTTTATCGTATTACGATTATTTTCATTGTTATTAGTGATGAATCCATCATCGAAATTATTATTGAATAAACTATTATGAAAATTTCTATTGCTATCCGAAACTTGTTTGAAAAATATATTTGAATTTGGGACAGTTGAGTAGACCGACATGATGATGATGTTGATGATGAAATTCAAAATCAATCAGAAATAAAAAAAATAACTACGTCTTTGTGTGTGTTTTGATCAGGTAAAATTTTCGACAAATAATTGAATCGAGGCACTCATAATAATTGTAACAAAAAAAATTTTTTCTATTGAAATCATTTTTCATTCATTCATTTTTATGGAATAATTTTCTGTTATTTGGTTTCAATGTAAGATGTGAAAACAAAAGTAAAAAAATGTCAACAACAAATAAATCAATATTGATCTGTTAATAATAATGATAATATTAATACTAATAACAATAATAAGGATGTTTTGAATAAATTCGAAATCTGATATAATCTAAATGTTGGCAATAATAATGGCCATAGTAGTAGCAAGATTGTAAATGATAAATAGTTAAACAACATGATGATAATGATAGTAATGTGTAACAAATGATTTTCTGTATTACAATGATTTTAATGAATTTTCAATCATTTACAATTTACAATTAGATTTGTCGTTGTAGATGTATCAACGTTTGTTGTAGATGAATCACAGGATCTATCAGAGGATTGATATTTAGCTTTTTGATTCTTTTGTTTTTTCGTTGCTGTTGTTGACAGAAGTAAATGTTTTTATTTTTGTTGTAGTTGAATGAATTTAGATAACAAATGATTCGACTTGAATGAATTGAATGATTGACAAAGTTTTAATTATCATTTTTTTCGGTAAGCTTTAAAAAACAGCGGTTGGTTTGTGACCATGCATAAAACAAAACGATATCAGAGAATATAACACAACAAATATTCGACGATTATCATCGACAATATTCGGGTTCGACATAAAACGGCTCGGTTTCACACAACACATACACATATCATGTAGTTGTATACTATTCTTGATTCTGCGACGACTCTATTCGAACATTATTCTATTGAATAATATTCTTGAAATATTTTTTTCCCTTAAAAAAAATTCTGTTGTAGTGGAATCAGATCTGAGCAAGCAGATATTTTATACGGTTGTCGATTAAAAAAGAAGAAGAAAAAGTTTCATTAACCACCATCACTACCACCACCAACTATTGTTATTATTAGCTAGACAGAATCGTATGATACTTTAAACGCCAACACTAATTATGATCAAGGATCTCATTTTTTTCTCATTGGAAACATAACCAACAAAAAAGATTCTCTATCTTTTTCCATTGTATACTATACATAAAACACATACACGTGTTTTATCTTTACATCATACATTAAAAGAATATATGTAAAAATAATTTATTCAGTGAAATATTTTGTTTTTTTAAAAGAATAGAGAGAATAAAATAAAATTGAACTTGAAATGTTAGACCTTGTTTTATTATTAAATCCACATTCAATCATTGATTCCAGACAATCGCCATATTAATATTATTCTTTTCGTTTCGTTTCGTTTCGTTTTTTTGGAATTAATATTTATTCTAAAAATAACTACTATTATTATACGAATAGCATATAAAATGTTAAACATGGCTAACATTTTTTTTCCAAAATAAAACAATAATAATGAAAATACTTATTATTAACATTACAAATAAATGATTCTGTAATTCTGGTTTGACGTCCAACGACATTCGATTTTAATCATAAAAGGAAAATAATATGGCAGAATTCAATAGAAAAAAATTCTAACGCCATCTATCTTTGTTGAATTAAACTGAAAAAACAATTGAATAATCCAAAAATAAAAAAACCGAAAAGAAAGAAATCTGTAATTCAATTACTACTAACACAATATAATCAATTGAAAATAATTTGATTAAAAAATTTAAAATAATCAATGTCTTGATCACATCTAAAATCGCAGAACAGATTGCAAATCGATATCGATTTGTGTGCTTAGTGTATCCAAGTATTGATGGATTGATGATCGTTTTCGTTTTCTCTCCTTGAAGTCAAACCCATTTATTTGTTTGTTTGTTTGTTTGTTCATTTGATTGATTCATTTTAATCTATTTGTGGTTTCAATCGTCATCCATATTGTTAGATTGATTAGATACGATGAAATCGAACAAAAAACACATTGACATAATGGAGATTATTGGCTAGACACCCAAATAATTTAGGTTAATTTTTTTTCTTTGTTTGATTTTCGACTGATTTTTTTCCTGGCTTTTTATTTTCATTACAATTTTTTCCATTCCTATTCCAAAGAATTCATTTCAAATCTAAAATAATGAAATCTTTTTTTTTATTTGAACGGAAAAATATGCGACTAAAAAAATAAGTATAAAAGGTGTTTGTATAAAACTGATACATTGATCGGTTGCTTAGATGCCATATCAATTCATCATCATTGATGGAACTTTCACTGGAAATTCCTTATCAGTAAATTTTGTTTCGAGGTTGTAACCAAACATGTATGCACAAACACATCTTATGTAGCTTATGTCAACAAAATAAATAATAACTTTGATATTATAATAATTATTGTTTATCAATATGATACAATAGTAAGATAGTAAAATATATAAATATAAAAGAGAAAATTATTGCAAATGAATGTTGATGATTAACAACAATGTATAAAATTATTCAAACACAACTATAATCAATTAAAGGGATTATATCTTGAAATATGCAAGTATGAAACAATGATAAAACAAAAAACATTACATGTATGTTATTCATGTATGTAGGCCCAATACCAATATCAATAAATGTTCCAAATACCATTTATTTATTCGACTAATTTCATAAATACAATACGACAATAATGATATTATCATCATCATTGAAATCATGTTAAAATAAATGATTATATCTACGTTTCAAATGTAAATATTTCACACTGAAAAAAATAACATAACATAACCGAAATAACCATAAGATGATGATAATGGTTCCCGGTGACAACCAACATCACCATCATCAAACAGACTAATCAAATAATGACATTTGATTGCACTATTTTTTTTCTACATTTCTCTCTCTCTCACTCTCTTTTTCCATTTGTTTCTATGGTCGATTGGATCGTTCGGTTGTTTCGAAAACCCAAACAACCAAAATCAAACTACTAAAACCTGTGATGATCATGATGATGATGATGATGATGATCACAACAACGGTTGGTGACAATATTTGGCTTATTATATGATTTTTTTTACTTGTTATTGCAACATATACAAACACACATGCATAAATGTGTTTGCGTATAAAAGATTGTATAAGATGATTATGTCTCCAATATTTATATTCGTCGAGATAAGCTTCAAGAACAGCAGGAAAAAAATAATATAAATTGCCTGGCTGCCATTCCATTTATATTGTCAACGATCATCGTCATCGGAATTGGTTTGAAACAAATAAATTTTTCTGTTGGTTTGGCTCGGATATAGTAATCACATTTACGACCACCATCAACCACCAAACTCATACCAAATTGGGAAGACAAACTTTTTTATTATATATTCATAATGTTTTAATATTTTTTCTCGTGATGATCAATTATTTTCATCCTTGCCGTCATTCAGTGATGATGTTTATCATGATTAATAAAAAAATGTTCAATTTCATTATAACGGTAATAGATTGGATTTTTTTTTCAAATCTAAAACATTAACAGCATATTCATCGTTTGCCAACGTTACGTTGATTAATCGAATAGGTTGATGATCTGTTCAATTGAGAAAAAATGAAACCTTGAATCGCTTCGTCAAAATTTGCATAATATTGGCCGTTCGAAACGATTTTATTTTTCATGGCCCGAATGAAATTGTAATTTTTCTTCTCATACTCTCTCCTAATTAATTGTTCTTACAAATTCAATTCCTAATGAGAAAAAAATATTACATTTTTATTTTGATTTATAAAATATTATGCATCTTTTGGCGAGTCGATATCAAAGGACTCTAACAGCTATATTATTTCGTTATGTATTTTTTCGGTAATGTATCATTAGTGAAAACAAATTTTTTATTGAAAAAATTAATATCGATTTATAATAAAAAAAATTCTGATTTACATCAACAGATGGCCTTGCATTGATGATGAATTTGATGATATTTTGAATTTCTAAATATAATTGGCGCCATCATTTGAATCCATTTTTTTCAATGATTTATAATGAACAAAAATATCGTTGAAAAATATCGAATGTTATAGCAGAAGAATAATTTATTTTAATGAATTTGAAAAGAATTTTAAGTTTTCATATTTCAAATTTGCAAGTTGTTGTTTCTCAAATGGATTTCTATTTTTTTTTAACAAAAAAAAAAAGAAAAAAGAAAAAAATCGATTTCAATTGTCATCATTTCAACAACTTTGAATGTCAATATGTCATTAATGAAAATATTTTATCTCACATTGCTTAAAGAATAAAATTAATGTTCACATACCCAAAAAAAAGGGGAAATGAAAAGGAAAATAATAATAATAAATATGGTACACGTTTTTGATTCTCCCAAAATTCTATTCAATTCAAATTTTTCACACTCATTCACTCATCACTACCACTTATTTTGGTGTATGAAAAAGGATGGCACGTGCATTAAACAACAAAAATTGCCAGTCAGTCAATTTGTTGATGACAAAATTAAATATTTTCCGTTTTTTTTTCTTTTGATTATACAATGAATACAGAATATTCTATTTGTACAACAATAACAACATTGACAACAAAAGGAATGAATGAATTTCTGTTTTTTTTCCTGGCCAGAATTTCATCATTTCAAATTGTATGTTGTGGCAAGTGTAAATGAACATTTGACATCATCATTGTTTGTTTGGTTTTTTGTCCAAATTGAATTTCTCAATGATAATTTGAAATCACATTGATGATAATATTTATATGGTATTATTGATTGATTAATATGAATAAAATTGATTATTTATGCCCAATTAATCATTTCTTTCGTTTTTCTTTTCTTTTTTTGTAAACCACAATAGCCAATCATAAGAATTTTCGGACGATTAATATGCAAACAAATTCAGTATACAATCACTTGAAAATCAATTGAATTTGGCCAACTAAAATGTATTGAACCCTAC